AAAATAAATAAATAAATAAATAAATAAATAAAAGTTTAATATTAATGTAAAGTAACCAATGTTAGATTTGGGTAAAAAAAAAAAAAAAAAAACAGATAGCTGTGAAAGTTTCCATAGTCAACTTTGCCTGTGCAATTTTCTTGTGAGCCACTTAAGTAGGCTTAATGTATAAGTGTCCTACTGACAATGAAAGCAGTGTCACTAATAGTCCAAACCGCCACCTGTTTCGTCTATCTACAGAAGGAGCACACCTTCTGATAACCAGAGCAAAGTTGAATTTTTGCTTAGTATGAGAGGGTGGAGAAATCACTTTAGTTGTGCAACAGTGAAAAAAAAGACTTGTCCCTTTCATACAGAAAAAGTATAATGATGACTGCTAGAAATTTAAGACTAAGTAGGTGAAACTACACCCTTGCAAGTTGGGAGGTTTAGCAGTGCTCACTAAGCAAGAAAACTGCAAACAACCCTTAAAAAGTACTAGAGCAAAGAAGGATAATATTCAACTATCTGCACCCAAGCACACCACAGTCTTTGGTTCTGTTTTCTACTTTACTAAGGTAGATCAACGCATGAGTTCAGGCTCTAAAATTCCAAACCAGAGAACTGGAAAGCCGCTGCTATGCGCCTTAGTACACATTTTTTTTTCTGTTTTCTTTTTATCTTTCCTTCAAAAACTAAAAAATAAAATAAACCCTTTGCTGAGTTTAGCAAAGACCAAGCCTTAGCAACTTTGACAAAACACAAGTCAAAGCAATAACGCGCTGGAGAAGATGCGCCAATTTTTAAGAAACAGTCACAAAATGTCCCAGCAAGTAAAACTACTTAATAAAAGATTAACTTTGTTCTGCTGAACGCTACAAAAAAAAAAAAAAAAAAAAAAAAAAAAAAAAAAAAAAAAAAATCGCGTATCAGGACAGCATTTTCTAATTACAAGGCCTTTAAATACAATATGTATGCTAATAAACGCGAACCTCCAATACGTGTGCAACGGTGCATAACTGATGTTGTTCCAGATTACATTTTAATAGTACCGAGGAAAAGGGGAACCTGCCACCACAAGTGCAAAACTGACCGAGGGAAAACAAAACGCGGGGGGCGAGGGGCAGTCGCGTATCCCGCACGCGACGCGTCTCCTTTTCCATCGCGCAGCTGCACGAACTAAGCTTACCCAGGCTTAACTTCTCAGGGGCGCTCCGGGGAGTCCTGGGGTCCCCCCACCCCAACACCCGCTGTCGGGAGGAAAGAGCCCAGCGCCACGCTGGGACCCGGTGCCTGCCGGGCACGCACCCCGCAGCTCGCCCGGCGTCCTCGTTCACCCCGGACAGGGGCGCGGGGGTCCCCCGGGATGCCGCTCCGCCAGATGAGGGGACCTCAGGGAGCCCGCCGCCCGCTCCGCCCGCTCCCCTCACCTTCGTGCCGCCGCCGTCGCGAGGC